TTTAGGCATTTAATTTAGGAATTTCCCAGAGGCACTCCTGAGAATTCCAGAACAATCTTCCCAGTCTTCAGAAGCATGAGGCAGTGTGGTTGGGGTTGCTGAGGGACAGTAGCAAAGACAGCAAGGACAGGAATGAATGTGTAGCTCTTCTGTCTCTAAGTGTGCTTAATGGAATGGTTTGACATGGACTTTGCTGAATCCTCTGGGTAACTCTGCTGCACCCCGATCAACGAGGAAGTTCATGCACTGTGAGACGATACCTGAGGTCTTCAATCAGTTCATGGAAAATGCCTATTAAGGAAAAAACTATGCATGGGTATACTTTCATTTATTTTTGCACCAATATAAATTCATACTTTAATGTCATTTTCCAATGAACATTTGAAGTCTCCTTGTAATGTCTTTCATTGCAACAGTCACCTTGTGATCCTAGTCCTAGAGATTCTGGCCTTGACTGGGACATGGAGCTGCTTGGGCCACTCGTGGGTCTATACTTCAATACTGGGCTATAGAGCCATTCCATTATATTCTCTGAGAAGAGGGGATTCAAGCTTAATACATAACTTCAATGTGCATTCTCAAGTTAGACCTGGGAGTTGGGAGTTAGAAGATGTTGAACAAAAGGACAGACCAGTCTTTGGACAACACTGACAACGAAAATCACCGATGTAGCTAAAGACAAAGGAAAAGTCTTTTCATGGCTTAGATGAGGGTGTGTCCTGCTAAGTTTTATTTCTGGAATTTGATGTTAGGAAGTGGTGAGGCCTAGGGAGCAATGGCAGGATCATGGCGAGTACATCACAGGGGCAACACTCATTGAATAGACTAATGACATCTCACGAGACCCAGTGAGTTCTAAATCTCATGAAAACAGGTTTGTTTTCGTGAGGACTGGTTGCTATAAAAAAGAGAGACCTTCTGTGGCTCTCTCTACATATACCTGCCTGCCATCCTCTGTGCTTCTGCCAGTCATGCTATAGGCCAAAACTTTGGGACTTGCCAGCCACCAGAATTGTGAGTTTGTAAAGAAATGTCTATCTTCTTTATAAAATCACCCAGGCTCAAGAATTTCTGTTAGCAATGCAATAATGGTCTAAGACACTCCTCTTACCGTGTCTCATCCAATCCATCACAGTGCTGATGAACACTGTAAAATATGAGCTCAGCAGAAGATTTTCTTCTTCCTTTATATAGAGATAAGGAATACACTAAAGGTGGAGGGCTCAGAGGTGCCAAACACTTGGACAATACCTTATGCCAGACTCAATTTCTTTTCCCAAACCCCTTAACACATTACAATCTCCTTGCTCTGCCTAAGTACAGTTCCCTAGACTCTTTATAAAATGTTTCCCTCTGTCTCTTATGCAGACGACATCTGCCCTCTGCCTTTCCATGGTGCCAGGTGTCCTTTGCTGTTTTCTTCTGAGCCCCTCTATCTGCTGCTGCTAGGCTGGAGGGTCCCACAGCCATGGGAAGCTGGCTCGAGTCGTTACTCTCTGAGGCTCATCTGCAGGAATCATACTTCCTTCAGTGCTGGGCCCATGCCTGTGCTTCCTCCCCAAGCACGTCGGGACTGTTTACTCGCTAATATGATGGATAATTGCCGATCTGAACAGTGAGCTTAGCTGATCTGAGTCATTCAGGGAGGACTCTGGGGCTTGTGGCCCAATCACTTCCATGAGTGAATCAGAGGAGGAGGAGGCTGATTACAGTGAAGAAGGGGACTCTTTAAACATACCCTGTGTAATAAGTATGTAGAAGAAAGGAAAAGAAACACTGACAGGAAGATTTTACTGGCCTCTGAGTTCAACATAACATGGTTCTCTTGTTTGCACAGGGAGAAGAGGCTGTGACCGGTTTGTCACAGAAGGGATTATACTGAACTCAAGGCCAGCAGACATAAGTGTGTGCAAAGGCAGTCCAGCCAGACTGCTAGTTGGAAAGTAATGTATTCATCAAGCTCTATACGCACAAAGAAACAGGGGCTCAGTGGCCTAGAGAGGCAGGGACAGTGTCTGTAGGAGAAAGAACACATTGGAGTCTCCACGCAGATCCAAAGGGCTACAGCAAGAATTTTACTCAGCTCAGGGAGCAGCATATTCCACACTGTTAAAATACAAAACTGTCACAACACTCCCCAGGAAAAAGTATTTCTTTGCTTTAAATTGCATCTTGTAAAATTTTTTTTCACTCCTTTTTCACCACAGTTGAGAGACAAATTCATGGCTTCTGATTTACCTATGAAATTATTTCCCACAGGAATAGGTGTGTGTCTGTGTGTGTGTGTGTGTGTGTGTGTGTGTGTGTGTGTGTGTGTGTGTGTGTGTGTGTGTGTGTGTGTGTGTGTGTGTGTGTGTGTGTGTGTGTGTGTGTGTGTGCCCATGTGCACGCATATATCTGAACAAAGAACTGATGGGAAATGATCAAATAAAGATCATGGTAGAGAACTGAGAAAAGGGAAAGATGCATCCACTGAGGGAGTTTTTCCTCAAATAATAGCTAGTTTTGTTGGTATCAAATATTGTGCTGAATATGCAAATACATTCTTGCAGTTAGTCTTTGCATCAATATGATGAGTTAAGTATTATCCTTATTAAAAAGGCGGACGCCCAACAGCAGGGGTGCGCAGGTAGCACCACTGCTTGGAAGGCTGGAATTGCATGGGAGGCCTGGGTTTGGATCCTAGGCCAGGTGAACACCAGGTACAGTAATGCAGGTGCCTGTAATACTGACTAATTGGAGGGCAGCAAACAACATCAGTGAAACAACGTCAAAAATACCTGCTTCCCATAAAGGAAAAAAAAATGTGGAAATTGGATCATATCCCATAGAAGTCAAAATAAGAACCCTGGAACGGCTCGTTTTGCTTTCAGATGTGGACTCTGCCATTTGTTGGTTGTGTACTTCTGGGTTAAGTCTCACTTATTCTCATATAAAAGAGGGATAGACTATCTCCCGTTGTGAGATACATAAAGTACCAAAGCCGGAGCATCAGTAATTTAGGATATTAGGTTTCCTTTTAGTTCTATAAATAAATGTCCCCAAATCATTTCAGTTCAGTTTACAAAACATGATATTTAAGTTAAAATGATGTTAAAACACAAAACAAAGCAAAACCCAAAACCTGATTATGTTCAACTTGAGTGAATTTAGAAAGCTATACAGCTACAGAAATGGACCAGCTCTTGAAAATCTTGGGAGAGAATTTATGATTTTTAAGCATGAAGGTGTACTTTGATAGGGGTACTTTTTAAATTTTATTTTATTTTTTGCTATAGGGTGCGTACACTCACCAGAAAGACAGAGAGACAGACAGAAAGTAAGAAATCACCCCCAAGGGGGGGATGGCCACACCACAATCCCTTCTCCTTTGGGATCTTGGGCATGCATGCACATTTGCCTGGTGTGAGTTTAAACCACTGGGTCTGGGATTTGAACCGCTGTAGGCTACATTGGAGTTCAGCAACATAGCCATTACACCAACTGCTGGTCCCAGACAGGAGTACTTATTAGTTTACAATAGCAAAATACCTCTTGATTTAAAAGAATTTCCAATCCCAAAGGAACATGCTCCTTGGCTTGGTTCTGCTACTACTTCTTTCTGTCCTACTATGTGACTGGACAGGAGGAGAAGAATCAAAAACTGCTGAGCCTGGCTCCCACAGTGGGCCTGCCAGTCCTCAGCCACAGCCAGCCTGGTGTGCATGGTCCAGTGGTAGAGAACAGGCGAAGGGTGGAACTCCTGGCTCCTACAGTCCTAGCAAGGCAGGGTAGGCTGGGGAAGAGATAGGAACACTACCAGTCAAGTCCAATCTGAAGGACGCGGACCCAGATGCAGAAGGGAGTCAGGGACAACCTACTAAATAGTATGTATGCCCTGTACATGCCTGGGGAGGACTGAAGAAAAGATGTACCCCAGAACCAACAAAAAACTCTCTTGAGATCATTAAAGTTTGAAAGAACAACATATCCTGTGGGAACAGGAATGCTTTACTGATGTAAATTTACTCCCTTTTTGGAGTCCCTTTTTCACACTGGTGCTTCCTTATTGAAGCTAAGCCCTTGGCAAAAGTCAATCCCAGGAGTTTGAAAATCAGCAAGAGATTTCCCATCCCAGCACTCTGGCCTCCAAAGAGCCTGGGTTTACCCCACAGCAGCTAGGACAGAGGAGGCAGAAAGGGGTGGGTCACCAGCTCAGGTCCGGGAGAATATGACTGGACACTGACTCTCCCAGGTGTATCGCCTATGAATGGTCCTCAAAGGAACCTCTGGATCCTTCCTTCACCCAGAATGTTTTCCCTCTGTCCCCCTCCCCCATCTCCTCACCAAAGGCCAGCTCAAAGCCCCAGATTCTGAAAGAGCCACCCAGGAGAGTCTGGTCCACACTTCTCCCTTGGAGCACACCTGGAGGCATGCTGCCTGGCTGCTGGCCTGAGCTGTCTGTGGCAGGGCAGTGGTAGCGGTAGTTGGAGCATAACCAGATTCCCTGGAGACAGACTCATTTTCCTTATCAGCCCCAAGTCGAAAGGACAAAGACTCGCTGATCACAACATCTTGTGGGCCTGGGGTTGGAGGCTGGCTGTGCCAGGCAGTAAGCGGCAGCAGAATTGATGGGGACAAGGGCACAGGTGGGAGACCCCGTATAACACATCTTCTCTTAATTTTGGAGAGCACTTTCTTGGGGTCAAATCTTGGCAGGCGACCGGCAAAACTAGCAGCAGATCCGGTTCCTAGCCATGTCCTTCGCTAGGGGAAGGCCACTGGAGCTGCCCTGGGCACAGGTGGCCTGCTCCCGACCGGCTCCGCTCCGCCGCCTAGGGCCTAGAAGCTGCCACTGCGCCCTGGGACGCTCGGTCTCCGCGGCGGGTACTGACCCGCACGTAGGGGCCGGTGGCGGCACAGCGCCGGCATTCTGGGAGTGGTGTCTGAAGTCAAACGCTTCCTGCCTTTTCCTTGGCCCGGGTGCCCGGCTCGTGCCGTCGGGCACAAGGATCCCCGGTCGCCCCGCCCCATCGCCCGCGCCCAACTGGGTGCGCTCTGCGTCCCCGCCTCCCCCCCAAACTCCCACCCCTTGTGCCCTTAGGGGGACACCCCCACTGGGACTTGAGAGTGGTCAGCCTTGCCCGGGTCGCGCAGAGGCGAAGAGGTGACGGTAATCGCCTTCCCATTTCCGCCCGGCAAGCAGCGCTGGGGGGTGAGTGCCAGCAGAGAGGCGCTCGGTCCTCCCTCCACCCGCCCGCTCCGGGGGCCGGGCCTGCCTAGCCGGCGCCTTTTTCCCCCGCACCGCGGCGCCGCTCCGCCACTCGGGCACCTCAGGTAGGGCAGGAGGCTGGAGCGCCTGCTGCCCGCCTGCCCATAAGATGGTCACCTCGGCTGGACAGCTCGCCCTGCTCGCGCTGGGTACGTACGCTGCCTGCCGCGCGCCCTGCGCCGCCTGCCCTCCGCGATACCGCGCTTCCTCCAGTCCTCTCCTTTTCTCTTTTCCAGGGGTTTTCTGCGCCCGCCTAGGAGAGGGGAGAAAAGGCTAATGCTTTTAATGGGTTGGAGCCTGGGAGGCCAAGGGAGCCACTAAGAATTACCCAAAAAAGGGGGACTCGAGCGCCGAGGCTTTCCCGGGAAGTGGCTGCCCGCGCCGTGCGTGAGAACGCGGCCCGGGGAGGGGAAGCGGTGTGTGAGCCGGCTTGAACTTTAATCCGCCGCTGCTATGTGTCTGTTCCTATGCAAGTCCACACCTACCTGCTTACCCGGCTGCCTCCAAGCCGGTCTCCGGCGGCGGCGGCGGCGGCGGACCCCGGGGCCGGCATCCGACCCTCTGGCCTGCGTCCCTTCGGCACCGGGTGCCTAACCCGGAGCCTAGCTACCGACAGATGTTCCCGATCAGTAGAGGCGCCCTCGATCTGCTAACTTTAAGAGTTCTTGAGCTTTGGGATAGGTTTCGGATTTTTGTGCGGATTAATTGTTCTTTTAATTAAGTTCCCTGGGAGACGTGGTTTCTCTGTCAGCCGCGAGCAGGAGTGAAACCCTAGACTGAACATTGTCAGTTTCCTGAGTTTGTTCCTGGAAATGAACGAGGGATGGGGGAAGGGGAGTTAAGCCCTGCACCCGCTGTCGGGTCTGCGGAGCTGGTGCGTTTTACCGCGATGAAGTTCCCAGGTATGGCTGAAGTGGTGACCCGCGCAGAGCCGCGCGCCGCCTGGCCGGCTCTTGCCCTGATCGTGCCGGGTCTGTCTGGGATTGAGGTGGCTGATTAACAGCCCAGGTGTCCCGGTTATTGCCGCAGCTTTCGGTGAACTGACCGTGAACTGAATTGTTCGGTCCATAGCCCCTGAGTTTAACCCTGTAAAGCATGTGGCTTGCTGTAGCAAAAGCTTCGGAACCCGGTTTTTCAAAATGCCTAGAGTCGCAGCTTCACCCACTTCTGTGTACAAATCCAGGGGGTTCACGGACCCGCCTGCAACCTGCCCTTTAAACGCGATTAAGAACTGCAGCAGGAGGGGAGGTAGTCTCTAAGGGAAATAAATTTAGTCGTGGAACGGATGCTTGGAGCTACACCCTTACCTGAAACTAACAACAGGTGACACGATTATGGGCGACTTTCTCTACCCCTCCCCTTTTCCAAGAGCTGCTTTTGTGTGTATTAACAGTTTTCATTTCAATGTTTAAAAAACCACTAACACGTTTCCAATACAGTGGAAGCGTCCTAAATACAATTCTCTGTAGCAATGTTTTTGCAAATAACAATAGTTAATAATAATTGTGATCATTTGTGTCACAGTTCCAAGTGCTTATTACTTATTGACTCATTTAGTTTTCACACCAACCTGATGAAGAAGGTATTACCATCGTCCCCGTTTTATAAAGCGGAAAAGTGAAGCACACAGGGCCCACCTTTAGTAAGTAGCTGGGCCAGGGTTATTAAAAATTTAGTGACAAAGAAAAATTTAGCGGGATATGAAAAGCCACCCCCCTTGTTCATCTAGTCCATCTCTCAGGTTTGAGATTTTGCCTTAAGGAGAGATGATGTGGAATACCCCAGATCATGCTGCTAAATTAGGTTATCTGTTGAACTGCTAGGATCTCAGGGGGGTGATTCAGTGAAAATTAAATGCAGGAAATGATGGGAGTAAGCACATTTAAGAAAGCTTTTGAAAGTTATCTCTCTTTCCGCTGTCCCCATCACAGCCTCCTGGCCTATGAAGACTGCATTCATTCGTCATTTTTCTCTTTGGAGCATTCCCTTCAACCTGGCTCTTGTTTCCTTCTTTAAGAAAACGATGTGTGAATAGAAAAAGATAGATTTATTTGTAAAAGCTGACTCATACACACTTCCAAAATGTGAGCAGTTGAGAAAAAAGTAGTGGGAAAAAGAGTGATTTCCACCCGTGAGAACTCCTTTTTATTTATATTTTTTTCAAAGAAAAATCAGAGCCGTTAGTTCAGTTCATTTACTAGAACCGCTGCCCTCCACATACCTCATTCATTTGCATGCTTCCTCCAAAGGTGCTTTCCTCTCTTTTTTCCTAGATTAATTGAAGGCAGTTCCAGGAGAATCAGCCAGTGTTCATAACCAACCAAGTGTAGAAAACCTTTGTGGGATGGTCGGAAAAGGAACTGGCTATTAGGAGTCTGAGTCGGTGCTTGATTACTTGGAACCTGAGCATCGACTTGTGTTTTCAGTGAGAGAATGTGGAGACTGTTGCCTAAATGGCAAGACTGGAAATAGAGCCCAGGTTCCTGTGGTGGCTGCCCTCCATGTCAGGTTTCCACCACTGGCAGACAGGCTGCATGGAGGCTTGGCCCTTCCCATTGCGCATCCTCCTCTGTGTCCAGGGAGCAAGATGTGCCATTGTGGGCCTATTACTTAGCTTTTTCATCTGTAAAAGAGGAATATTAATAGAGTTGTTGAATATACTTAATGCATGTAGAATGATGCCTGGCATGTAGTAACAGCTTAATTAGTCTTAGCCACATCCTCATCATCATCGTTAGAATTCTAGACATCGCTATAGGTTTTTGAGTTCCATTTTAATTTATCTTTTAACTTGTTGGCTGTTCCTCACCCTTCCTAAGCTGAAAAAATATCACCCAACCTAGAAATCTACTGAGGTGGTTTCTTCTGAAAATCATGTGGGGGCCAGCAGTTAGCATAATGGCTATGTCGCTGGACTCCCATGTAATTGGCCGTGGTTCGCATCCCGGACCTGGTGGCTTAAAATGCACGCCAGGTGCATGTGCGTGCATGCCCAAGATCCTGAGAGGAAAATGGAAGAGAAGGGATTGCAGTGTGGCCATCCCTCCTGGGGTATATATATATATATAATTTGGCAGGTAACAAGTTCAGGCAATTTTTGGGGTCCCTCTGGACATCATGATTTTTTTTTTTGGTAAAGTATTTGTGCCTACTTTTTGATATTCAGTAATCGATTGTTTAAGTTCAGCACTAAGTTCTAGTTTTCTCATGTGTCAAAGTGGGAATAATAAAGCTATACCCACCTCGTAGGTTGTCATGAGAATCAAATGAGATGACCCATATAGAAACGATGGATAGACTCTAAAAATAAAGGGGCACACATATTGAGTTGTCGGGAAAGTCAGGATGCAGTTTGGCATAGAAAAATATGTCATGGCTTTCCAGATGGCCTAATAAAGCGAAATTGATCTTCTGATGTAGAAATGGGTTCCAGAATCTGGAGAGAAACACAGTTACTGTTCTGGCAACTCCCGTCGGTGAAGACGAGGTGGAGACTGGTCAGGAGGATGTCTTAGGATGCTAAGTGGCATTACAGCTGAGCAGTAGTAGGTCACCTGTGGAATTTCTGTGCAAGTCAGGGTTCAGGGACCAACAGGCAGAGAAGGACTGAAGTCAGAAGTGCCTTTTCTCCATTCCAAAGAGACAGGGAGGGCTTGCCTGGAACATGGTTTTCATACCGGGCAGTCATAATGAGGGAGTGTTCACTTAGCATGTGGCCCTAGAGGTGTATGTGGGAGGCTTAGAGCCTGAGTTTCCCATATTTGCTTTTCCAAAATTTGGTTTCCTCAGGAGAAAGTGACCTTTCTGTAAATACTGAGTGTCCCCTGCAAAGGGACTTTCCTTCTAGGAGTAAATGATGCTTCGTGTTACTGTTACTGTGGTAACATAGGAAAAATAGATGACTTTTCCATTAGACCTATCTCTAAGGACTTTTTCAAAGTGTGTTTTGAACAAGGTCTTATTCTTTGCATTTCCCACTAAAAGAGACTGGCAATGGGAGGTAGAGGTTGGGTCATCCAAAATGAGAATGGTCATGCACACTGAGGTCAGCATCTTGTGTTCGGCTTCTCACTCAGAACTTCTCTAGAATTTTCTACAGCACCGTTCTTAAGTCAGAATCACCCAGGGGCCTGGTTAAGCCAGATTGCTGGGCATCCTCCCCAGCATTTTTGATTCAGGGAGTGGGAGAGTTTACATGTCTACCAAGTTCCCAGCTGTGACTATGCTGCTGGTGGGGCAGAGACAAGAGGGACACCCCGAGAACTGATGCTCTTCAGTTAGTTGCTATTAGAAATTTTAGACTTAACCAACTGCATTTTTAAAAGAATTATTTAATTTTATTTATTTATTTTAATTTGTCTAGAGAGGGACAGAGTGAAAGAGAGAGAGAAGGTGAGAAAGCAAGCCGTCTGGTCTGGGATTCAAACCACAGTCAGCCATGTGGGAGTCCTCCGGCCTTAACTACCACACCACCTGCTGGCCCCCCAGTTGCATTTTATCTAAAGCAGGTTCTGACGTCTGTAAATGCTACTCTGTGTTTACGAGCCATTCTCCAAGATACTTCCAAGGCCTACCTTGCTAACAAGGGCAGAGTTAGATCTCTTGCTGAGATCTCTCCATTGTTGTTAAATATTCGTGTACTCTACCAATGGAAAATGTAATGATGCTGTGTTAGTGACCTTCAGCTTACCAAAGCTAATCATGTCACGCTTTCCTTTATTTAGGGGTTGCCAAAAATGGAACATTGTTTTGCTGCCATTTCAAATATTTTTAATCGCCTCATTTTTAAGTATGAACTGCTGTGCTAGAGGGCTAATGTGTTTAAAATTCCTTCTAGATAGAGGAGGATTAGGGGGTTTGACAGTAGCTTTTGTTTTTATTTAGCCTTCCACCCCCCCCCCCGTGAAATGTCAAATATAAAAATCTTTCATAAAATCAAGGAAGTCAAAAATCTAGACTAACACCGCCAGCTCTTAGGGGCTCTTTGTTTCAAGAGCAAAGCATCTTCCCTTTAAACCAACTCTAAAAAAATCTAGATACATTCTTTTAAGGCGTTATGAATCTGTTGTATTGAATATGACTTAAGAAATAAATAGTTGTCACCTGGGCTTAGAAAAAGTTGGAATGTTTTGAGACCAGTAGATGGAGT